GATTGTTGTACTTTCTTCATCTTTGGTTATGTTTAATATTTCTAAGTTCTGGCAAAATGATCATTGGGGGTATAATATGGTTTTAGTTTATTCAAAAAAAATGTTTCCGTTGTTAGTTACGTCTAATGTTGTGAGTATAATTGGACTATTTTTTAATAAAACTTAATAGAAACTACATATCTATTGCATTGTTGCCCTTTTAATTAAGAACAAAAACATTTTGAGGTGAGCCATACTGGGGTTCGCTTATGCACCTAAGATCATTCTCAATCTCCTTATTCTCTGCCCAAATGAGTTCATAAAAAGCATTAGATGAAACAAGTGTTGAGTTTTATTCAAAAATCGGTTTCAAAAAACACTAAAGTTGGCAACGGAAAATTTAAAAAAATTGAATAAACATAAACTATTTTATCCCACTAACGATAATTTTTTCACGTATGTAAATATTAATACAACCATAGGAAGAAAGAACTTGCAACCTTTAAATACTTTGGTTCCTCTTAAGAGCTTGGAAGTTAATGTAGTGATGATACAAACTCAAAACTCTTTCTATTCCAAAAAGATGTACATGACATAATAAATCATAACTTATGATATATTTGGATACTTGACATTGAAAATTAATATATCAATAAATACATAATTTCTAATTAATTTCAATAGTTTTAAATATTTTTTAAGATTAAATCTTTATAAATATTTACTTAGCGTTTACTAGTTATTGGTGTGACCCTATACGCTCATATGTTATTAAAAAAATATCATTCTAACATGATTCTTGAGCATATAGGTTCAACAATCTCACATTTAATTACACAAGACTCAATATATATATATATATATATATATATATATATATATATATATTGATATAGAGAATAGTGAACGTCTAATAACATTTTTACAGCCCTTACAACAAATGATGAATTGTCATTCAACAAGATCTAATTCCTAAAAGCTGAAGGATTCAATTGATGTATAAGGTAATTTATTAATTATCCATTTGTTATATACATCATGTTGAACATGAGATATGAATTAAAGTTATTCTCATTTTGTCTTCAACTTTTATTAGGGCGCCTTAGATACGTAAGTCTAAAAAAAGAGGAAAAAGAATCCCATTTTGACTATTGATAGGATCGATAGATTCTATAAGAATGAAATCAACAAATACATGACATAATTGAAAGAACACATAGATGTAGATAAGATCTAGTCTTTCATTTAGAGAGTAAAAGGCATACGATTACAATTGTAACGCCCGTAGATCCGAACTAGTCAATTTAGAGACGATAAGTATCAAAAATTAGTTTTTGATGAAGGATTAATATTAACCAAGTTGTAGTATATGTTACAAGGGTTCTGTACACATAAACAACGTCGAAATCCGAGTTATACGTTATGACCTGCCAAAGTTTCACGACGGAACCCACACAACACCGGGTAGCGTAAACAGTGAATTTACGATAGAGAGATTTGTGGACTTAGCGATCTAAAAGAAATTCGTAGAATACGTTAAACCGAGAGCGTCCATAAAAAGAGTGCCGAAATCTGACTTCGTATGAGAAAGTTATGATTTTTTGAAGTTTCGACTTAGCAGTGTACAACCCGAAGTTCGAATATTAGATCGAGCGGTTTTTAGTGGACGCAACCTAAACGAGAAATGAGGATCTCATTAATAGTTTTGAGTTTTTAATGGAGCAATCCTGTACCGGCCTGTTAATAATATAACTTTTGAAATAAAGTCAAAATTAGCCGATGGAGTCTAAACAAAAGTTTTAGAGTACGTTCCCGCCTACGTGTGGATATGAAGAACGTCGAAAACGAAGCACGTATGAGGAAGATATGAATTTTTGAAGTTGGAACTTGAAAATGCGAAGCCTATTGCAAGATTGACGACGTGGCAGCATCTGGACCGTCCATTGCTGATCGGAGGACTCGCTTCGGATGAGTGACACGCCACCCTTTGCATTACGCCCGACGTCCGAAATGGAGTACGCCCAACGTACTTCAGTTTCATGGGGTTCCAAGACATCTATTTCGCACCATACGGAGATCGCCATGTAGCAACCTCATCCGAAGTTATGCCCAGTGTAACCAAGGTCTACACCCAACATAGTCCAAGGTTTAGCCACTATAATAGAAGTGCGAGGCTACCGACTTTTTCACTCCAAAATCACTTCTCTCTATAACTTTTTTCTCTCTCTAACCCAGTCGAACCCCCTAAATTCTAGGGAACCCCTAGCACCCGAAGGAAGCCCCGAAGGCTCCTGAAGTCCCGAGAAAAAGGGTATTTCGGTTCGGAAACGCTGCTCCAAGCAAAACCCCATTTTCTTTAAAACCCGCTGTAAGTGAGCTACGCCTATTAAATTTCTAATATAGCATTTAAATAATTATAGTAATGTTATTAGGTCCTTAGAATATTTAATTAGGCTATTATTATGGGTTATATGACGCCATTATAATATCTTTTTAACCACTCGTGGTACGGGGGTTCCGGTTTGGAGGGTCGCATGGGTTGCTGGATTTAGAAGTGCTTATATGCCAAAATGATCTTGCCCACCGGTGTTCCATATTTGGCCTCATCTGTATATAGTAGGTGAAAAGTATTGTGTCACGCTTATATAATAGTAATAATAGTTGGACTATTAATTAGTTACGGTTAACGTCAGACTAAACCCTAGTGATCTTGATACTAGGTTTTGTCGAGGGATAATTGTTTTGAGATAAAGAAGCGCAGTTCGAGGGTAGAATCACCACTTTTTCAGGTGAGTGCATAGTTACTTTCATCATACACATAGATATGAAGTATTTTATATAACTTACGTGCTATGTGTGCATATTGTCTGAATACTTGCTGATTATGCTGGATGAACAATTTTATACATGTTTTAAATGTTTTTAGCTGTATATGTATTTTATATCTACAAAATATGTTGGGTAAAACATGGGTAGATGAATGATTTGTAACATCTCAAGTTCAGAAGCAAGAAGCTGAAGGGTGCTATATGAAAATAAAGGAAGGGGCTCAGCGAGTAGGTCTCTTAACTCATTGAGTCGAAGCGAGTGTCAGGCACGTGATTAAGTGGCCTAATGCGCCGAGTTAGCGGCTGGACTCGACGAGTCGGTGCTGGATGAGGAAAAGCCTTATTCTTCAGGTTTTCACCCTATTTAAATGACTTAATGTCCTCCCCTCATCCCCTTAGCTCCGTTTGAGATCCAGAAACCCTAATTTCGCTTCTGAGAAACCTTGGAAGCAATTTGGAGTGATTTGTGAAGGGATCTTGAAGATCAAGAAGCTTGGATCAAGGAGACATGAAGAGATCTGGATTATACTTCAGTAGGAGGTCATTTTAGAGGTAAGGAATCGTTATCCTTGGCCTTCTCCTTTCTAGTTCCATTTTCATTGAGTTTTAGGGTTTGGTTGGAGAAATATTGATGCGATCTTGGTGCATGAGTTAGATCTAGAGTTGAAACTAAAGAATCAAAGAATCAAGTTTGAATATTAATCAGAGTTTGAAATCTGAAATGTATGTAAGATTGAACACCGATTTAAATAAGATCTTGATTTAGCTCAATATTACGCTTTTTGGTTTACAGAGTGCAAACTAGACAAGATTATCAAAACCTTCTCTAACTCTAGCAAAGACTCATATTTATAGAAGAATAAAAGGATATAAAAAATATACTAAGGACTAGACAAATAAGCTTCGAATACAAGCCTTAGTAAAATAGATAACAGATCATACGAAGAGTACGTATAAGGCTTCAACTCATTACAACCAAACTACCCTTACATTCTCCCCCTTTGTAAACAGAGTTGAAGACTTCAGTTTGTAAGTAATTGAATGGAGTACAACATTACTCTTCGTATCTCAGTATACCAAGAGATAATCTTCTCCAGTTCCTTCTTGTCTCCTTCGTTATTCTTCTTGCAATGATTCATACGAACAATCAATTTTGTATATTGTGAAGTAGAATATATTTCGACCTTACTCGCCTGGAATAAAAACCTTTTCGATTTTCCTGACTTGTCCTTTCCAGAGAAGACTAAGCCAAAAGGCTTCAACCAGATTTCACCATCAGCATATTTCTTTAAGTCTGCTTGAGTCTTCGAAGGAGCCATAGGTGCTATAACTTCTAGACCTTTAGTTGTAGCCAACTCCACATCAGTCAATGCTAAACATTCATAATAATTTTCAATAAAAATCTTGATGTAAGTAACTCCCATCTTGTACTCATCAGGCTCTTTGTTTTGAAGATATGAAAAAGACCTTTCCTTCAGTAGTAATACAACTTGTATAAGATCATACAAGTTCGTCAAAGGAAATTCAGGAATTGTAAACTTGCACACATTACCATTTTCCCTGGTCACACTATACTTCATGTTTGGACTATGTTTTCGAAGACCACATCATTCTTTATGCTAATGACCTTTTTAATCTTTGTCAAGGACCATACTTCTTCTTCAGGCTTCGCAAGAACCACATGAAATATAATCTTCATTTGAGTACCTTCATCCTTCTCCTTGAATTTGCTTTCTACTTTAAAATGACGCATGATGGACATCATTTCATTAATTTCGAAGTCCAACTGGCTTGCATCCGTATTCGTGACAATATAACTCTGTGTAGGCTTCTTCTCAAATGAATACATGTGATTGAATGCAACTTTGGATTCAATTATTTCATAATTGTAGTTCTTTGATGGATCACCCTTGTTCATGCCAGGAGGATCACTAGCCCTTTGAGTCATTATGCTTTGAATCATTCTCATCTTTTCCATTTCTGCCTCAGCCTCTACCTTCTTCTCTTCTTTAGATTTTTCAATAGGTATTGACTTTCCCCTTGCCTTCGAAACAGATTCCTCTATCACTTCTTTTGATTTCGTATCACTTCCACCAGTATCAATAGATTTACCAATCACAATTCCTTTCGAAATTGGTCTTGTGATTGGCATAGTTGTAACTATTATTGAAAAGATAGGACCAGCAGTTGTCATCACTGGTTTTGATGTTGGGATCTTAGAAGGAAACACCTTTCCCACCACTTTCGCATCTTCGCCTCCAGCCTTCGAACCTTTGATTTTCCTTTCTCCCCTTGCACCCCTGGACTAGCAGGTGGGGCATCTGTTGTGGGAAGAAGGGTAGATATTCGTGAAAGAGGAGTCGGTTGTTGAACAAGTAAGGCTTCGAATTTAGAAAATTTGTTGATAAGATCTTCATAGGATAACAGAGAAGACGAAGCAAGTGTTGAAGATAATGTTTTAAGCTCCTTTAACATAGTGAAAACCTCCATGAAATTCTTGTTCTCTGTTGTAGAAAGTTGAGCAATTTGAGGACTCATACTTTCATACAACTTAGCAAACCTGGGAACTACATCACAAATGATGTCTACCTTTTTAATGAGACATGCAAATTCAGTACGAACATTTGCAATCTCTTTCTCAATATCTTGTCTAAGCTCTTGGATTTTATAATTCACATCTTCTCTGACTTTCTTCATATCTTCAATAAATAAAACATGTCTCTCCTTTGCAACCAACTTTCATTCCTTCAGATCACTTTCAAAAGTAGATTTATGAGCATTGACCCTCATCTCATTACTATGATCACAAAGATCAATTTTCTCCAGGAGACGAGACTCAGAATCTTTATTATTCCTAAATCTTTCAAAGAAATCCTCCCTTCAACCATCATTAACAAACCATCCACTTCAAGATTGGTCACTGAATTTCCTCCCCCAAGATCAGCTTGAGATTGAAGAATTGAATTAAGTTTTGTATTCAATATCTTGAACTGTTTCATTGTCATGAGCATGTGATCTGGGAAGTCAGTCTCTTCTTCATCAAACTCTAGATTTTCAAATGTCCCTCCAAAACCTTCGAACTCATGTTCAGTTTCAATGAAAGAAGAATCTTGAATTAGTGAAGTGGTGGTAGGTGGATCAGTGGATTGTGAAGAAAAAAGAGATGTTATTGGTTGTTTGATGATGTTTTCAAAGGTAGGAGAATCAATTGTAGATGTAGTAGGAATGACATGTGTAAGTTGTGGAGGTAAAGAAACAATAATATATGGGGTAACATCCGAAGGTTTACCTTTGTCTCCTATATGTGAAGCATCCTCACCCAATGTGACATTTGCATCCATATGAGATATGTTTACAAAAATGTCAGAAGTTCGTGCCTCCACAGAAACTGTCTTGGCAACCGAAACTTCGGGTGGTATTACATCAGTTGACGCAAGATGAGAAGAATCTTTTTAAAGATCAGCTTCTGGTGTTTCTGGAATTGTTTCATTTTCATCAGCAGTAGACTCTGATGAAATGATCACCCTACTCTTCTTCTTCTTATTTTATATGTATTTGGCCATATCAGTTACCCTTCGCTTCTTAGACGATGGTGAAGCAGGTGCAGGAATCTCACGAAAGATAACTCTTTGATGTGAAACCTGTGGTTTGCGAACAATATTTGTTAGAGGTGGTCGACTCTTATGTTTTGATTTCATATTGATTCTTCGAAAAACACCAGTCTTCGAAGGAATGATTCCTTTTTGAGTGGATGGTGTATCAACATCAACAACTTCGGGTTTGATTGGTTTGGATTTTGTAATCATTAATTTCTTCAGACTCTTTGTAGATTTAGATTCTTTGACAAATTTCTCAAAAGATTCAGCAGCAACCTTCTTTGAACATTTAGTCTTCTTATCTTCTTCTCTAGCCAAAAGAACCCCAGTTTTAACAGAAGTATCGATGGTTTGTAAGTAAGTGATTAGAACTGTGTTGGTAGGATCAACTCTTTTCAGCATGGCATCAGGAATGCAGGCAACAATTGGAAATTCATCAGTATCATCAGTTGCATCCTTCGGACAACTATAGACATGGAACACAACTTTTTCTTCATCTGCAAGAACCAAAATTCCTTCCTTCTCATAAAAATATTGCAGAATCAAACTCCAATATTGAGCACACGAAATGCCACGAAGAGCATTCGTGTTCTCAATACTCTTCAAGAACTCTTTCCATAATTGAGTAGAGTAATCAACTTGAAGATCATACTATAAACCTACGACCATCGCATAAACTTCCATCCTCCCTTGTCCAACACAACAATTCTTCCAGTTAAACATTTGAGAAAAATGTCAAACAAAAAATTCCAAACACTCGGAAGTCCTGACTTCTTGAAATCACTTATCTTTGTCAATTGGGGTTGATTACCCATTTACTTTAAGGTTTCAAAGTAAAGTTATTTTCCACATTCTTGAAATCATTAGCCTAAGTTGGTGTTACTCAGAATCTCAAGGATTTCGTGTGTGTAGTGTGTGAAAGAATAAATATGAGAAGAAATTTAATATTTTTTGGATATTCAATGATGTCAAAAATTCAAGTTGACACGAAGGCAGTTAAAACCCTGGACAAAGATTGCTTCATTAATTATCAAGAGAGATAATCAATACTTGTATTTTTTCCCATGAATTACAATCAAATACTTGTAAATAAGTATCGAAGGGCTTCTTTTAAAAGGCTTTTGAGGTGGTTTAGTGAATTTCGTTACATATCAACCTAAACATAAGGTGAGTAATTGTAACATAAATTACTTGGTTGACCAGTGTAGTCAGTGACAAGTTTGCTTTGAATAACTTTTATGTAACATCGAATTTCGGATAAAACTCACACTGAAATAATATTCAAGAAAAAAAATTATATTTTAGATCCTGTTGTGTAAAAAACATTGTAGGTTTCGAATGTTTGATCAAGACCACTCATAAGAAATAAATATGATTTGTAGTTTCGAATGAAGGTACAGAAACAAATGTTTCGTTAAAATCTAGAACTAAGTTGCCCGTCAATTCCTTAAAGGTTAATTGAATTGGGTTTCACTTCCATCACGGTCTCATGATGTATTATCATAAATACAGATTTGTGATCTATCTAAGTTTCGATTGGTTTGATCAGAAACTTCTTGGACATATGTCTTCGTGTGTGATAGTGTAAGAATTTTAAGATGAAAAATATTGGTATACGAAAGAACATGTACCTCTGTTATTTTGGACCAAACAGTAAACTCTTAACTCATGTGAGAAGAGTAAGGTAACTCATTGGACTAATGTGAATGTAAGCCTAATTGGGAAGAAATCTTCGTATGAAAATTTCATTAAGGCTTTTAAACATTGAGTCATTTCGAGGCTTCGGACAACATGTTGCAGCATGCTTCTAGGGACATCTTAACTAGTCTAAAAAAATATTTGAAATTCAAAGAATAGAATGATAGATTTACCTAACCGTAGAACCATAATCCTTATCCTCTTTTTATCTTCTTGAATATCTGCAACACAGTACTTAACAAGAAAGAAGAAACAAAATCGTTTTGTTGCTTTTGATTTTTCAAAAATTAAGAACAAAATAATAAGAAAATCTTTTTGATGTTTTTGATTTTTCAAAAATAAAGAACAAAACAATTAAAAGTACTCGTTGCAATCATTCGAAATTTTACCAAGCTAAGAAGAATACCAATCATAAGAATTCGAAGCGTTCGAAGAGTTGACTATGAACATTAACCTCTGAATACTGAATGATTTTGCTTTGTCTTTTTCTTGTAATTGTTGTTTGTCTTTTTCGCATGGAATTGAATTTCCATTAATCATCCCCAGTTCTTCCAAAATTCGTACAAACGATTTTTCATCCAAAGTTTTCGTGAAAATATAAGCCAACTGATCAATTGTTTTCACGAAATGTACTTCAATAATTCCATCCTCCACATGATCTTTGATGAAATGATAACGAAGAGCTATATGTTTAGTCTTTGAATGATGCACATGATTATGACAAATTCTTATTTCACTTTGTGAATCACAATATAAAGGAACCTTTTTCATGTTAATTGCATAATCACATAATGACTTTGGATCCATATTATTTGTGAAGTGCATGCAGCAGCAACAACATATTCAACTACAGCCGTTGAGATTGAAACACATGTATGTTTATTCGATTTCCATCTCACCAACTTACCATCGAGAAATTCAAATCCTCCACTTGTTCTTTTTCTATCTAGGTTACAACCTCCCAAATCTGCATTCAAATATGCTTGAACAAAGAACCCCGTATTCGAAGGATACCACAATCCTAGAGAAAGAGTTCCTTTGAAATAACGAAATATATTCTTTACAGAAGTGAGATGTTGTTCTCGTGGATTTGATTGATACCTAGCTCAATTACATACAGAAAACATGATATCAGGTCTACTAGGAATTAAATATAGTATAGATCCAATCATGATTCTGTATAAAGTGATATCAACTACAGCTTTATCTAACGATGGAGTCAGTTTGATGTCAATTTCCATTGGAACTCGTAATTTTGTGTTATTCATTAATCCAAACTTCTCTAGCAAATTCTTCGTATTTTTTTCTTGATTAAGGAAGATTCCTTCTCTGCTTTGACAAATGTTTAAACCAAGAAAATTATTAATTTTTTCCATCATGCTCATTTCGAACTTACTTTTCATCAAGTCTTTGAATTCTTTAGACAAAGCAGGGTCAGTTAAGCAAAAGATAATATCATCAACATAAATTTGAACAAGCATAATATGATTCCCAACTTTCTTATGAAATAATGTGGGGTCAATTGATTCTTTTTAAAATTTTGATTAATTTAAAAATGAAGTAAAAGTTGCATACTAGGCTCGTGGTGCTTGTTTCAAACCATAAACTGCCTTATCTAAGATATAAACATAATCAGGATGTTCTTCGTTAAGAAAACTTGGAGGTTGTTCCACATAGACAGTTTCTTCGAGTTCTCTATTTAGAAATTCACATTTCATGTCCATTTGATAAACATCGAAGTATTTGTGAGCTGCATAAGCCAAAATATACGAACTGCCTCGAGTCTTGTGACAGGGGCAAAAGTTTCTTCATAATCAATTACTTCTTGTTAAGAGTATCCATTAACAACAAGTCTGGCTTTATTTCGAATGATATTCCTGTCTTTGTCAGTTTTATTTTTGAAAATCCATTTTAACCCAACAATTGAAACATCATTTGGCTTAGGAATTAATCTCCAAACCTTATTTCGTTTAAATTCATAAAATTCAGATTGCATTGCAACAACCCAATCTAAGTGTTCCATTACATGCTTTATTGCTTTGGTTCAATTTTAGAGATAAAAACATTGAACATGCAAAACTCTTGATGACTATTTAATACCTCATTCTTTGCACGAATTTGAGCCATTGTTAAGACTCCATCTTGTTGATTACCAATTATTTTCTCCTTAGGATGGTCTTTTGTCAATTTGTCCATTGGTGGATAAGCTGGATTGAAGTCCAGAGGTGCGTCTTCGTACAATTCATCATTATTTGAGCCTGCAATTGAACAAACATCATTAACGTCATGATAATTTTCATTATTTTGTAATAGCTCCCCCTCAACATTAGTATATAATCTCTCCCCCTCAACATCAACATTTTATCTCTTATTCTCCCCCTTGAAAGAATCCTCCCCTTCGATCAGAGTGTTCGAATCCAAATGCTCCCCCTCCATCGGATCATTTTGCATACTTTCACATAACTCTTAAGGAGATGATGTTGAACCGTTAGTTAGCTTCGAAAGTTCAGGGATATGATTATCTGTAGCTTTTTCTTCAACATGTCCAACATGATCTGAAATTCCAAATATCAAATCACAATCAATATCCAACGTTTGCATTGGTTCAGATTCATCTTCGGTTTCTTTCAAAATTGGATGATTTTTAAATTGTTGTGCATATTGTTTTATATAATAATCATCAAATGTAAGGTTAAAATTTTTTTCCACATTTCGTATGCGCTTGTTCAATATACGATATGCCACTGACTTATGCGAATACCCCAACAAAATCCCTTCATCAGCTTTAGCATGAAACTTCGAAAGGTTATCTATGAGATTGATAATAAAGTACCTGCATCTGAAGACATGGAAGAATTTCACATTAGGTTTCTGATTATTTAGTATTTCGTAAGGTGTAATATTAAAACGCCCATGAATGAAAGATCTGTTCTGAGTAAATCATGCAGTGGATACAGCCTCAGCCCAAAGATATTGTGGTAAGTTCGCATATACCAACATAGTGCTTGCAATTTCCCATAAAGATCAATTTCTTCGTTCAACAATACTATTCTGCTGAAGAGTGTATGGAAAAGAGAAATTATGCGAAATGCCTTTTTCCACTAAAAATGAATCAAGAACGTTGTTCTTAAATTTAGTTCCATGATCACTCTTGATTTTGCAAACAAGCTTTTTCAAAGTTATTACCATTTTCTTTATAAAAACAATCATGATTTGTGCCACTTCAGATTTTAATCTGAGAAAATAAACCCATGTGAATCTTGAAACATCATCAACAATAACTAAGATATACCATTTGGTATTGAGTGTTGAACTGTTGAAGGACCACATAAATCAATATGTAAAAGCTCCAGTGGATCGACCATTTTCGAATCAATTGTGATCGAATGACCTTGTTTATGTTTCTTGCCGACTGCACAAGCTGCACATAAAGAATCATTATCAAATTTAAGTACAGGTAAACCTATTACCAAATCTTGCACAACAAGTTTGTTGATATTTTATTTCTAAAGTTGAGATGTGAAAGTCTTCGTTGCCATAGCCAGCTAAGATCTGATGTAGCTTTCGAAAGAAGACATACAACAGGTTTACCCACAATTGGATTGTTGTCCAAAGTAAACATGTCACCTTTCCATTTGGATTTAAGCAAAACTTTTTTTTTTTTTGACATTTGAAATAATCATCCCTTTTCGTTAAAAAGTACT